TTAATTTAAGTGAACCAACCAAGCACCCTTCGATTGGAAATACTTGGAGAAGTGAAATAATTAAAAAAAAAGATGATGGGTGGAGATATAATGAAGTTAAATGTAGGAAGTGGTCACAGTTTTGAATCATATTTCTGTTTGAAGTGCCATTTTCCAGAACCAGTATCCGGACATCAAACAACTCTTCAGTGTCTCCAAGGCAAGAACCTGAAGTGATTTACTTTGCTATTAAATCCCAGCTTGTGTATTTTACCCAGGAGGTGCCACTGTCTGTAGTATTTTGCTGTCCTCTCCCCTCCCTTGCCCTGTGTCAACAAGAGCCGGCTTGTTTGTGTGCAGGGCCAGCACGCTTCCCAAAGGTGATTAATATCCTCATGTCACCAGTATCTCATACTAAATTTGCTTTTAATTTCTCGGCAAATTAGAACTTATTTCAAGATAGCCTGGTATCTGAATGTGAACATTCAATCCTTATAAAACGGCAGATCGGTTTGAGCAACTCACCAGTGACTCCCTTGTCCAGTTCCAAAAGGCTCATTTTATTCCGGAAAACTAATGAAAGCGAGATCCAAACTGGAACACCTCATTATTGGGGGTCCAAAGTCTCCAGAGATGGAGGACAGCAAACTGCTTTTCCTGCTATTTACTGAATTACTGACTTGTCTACTTGCTTCAGTCTCTCCGAGGCACAGCAAGAGATGCAGTAAAGTTTGCCATCAATGTTGGGTACCGCCACTTTGATTGTGCCTACCTGTACCAGAACGAGAGTGAGATTGGGGATGTGCTACGAGAAAAAAAATTGAAGAGGGGGTTGTGAGGCAAGAAGACCTCTTTATTGTCAGTAAGGTATGTCCTTGGATAACTTGTCTCACATGAGGCCAGCTCTCAGGAGGAGAGACAAGGTCCCAACCTGCAAAGTGCCAGGGGATGAAGCTGGTCTGGGAATTAACTCCTCTCTGACAGGGGAAAGTGTTTTGCGGATAGAGGGAAGGAAGAGGTCAACTCTCGGGGAAAAAAAGAAAAAAAAGGCTTGAGTTAAGAGGGATTTTTTTGTAGTCCATATCCATTGTCAGCCACGGAGACAGGAACTGAGGCCCTGCTCTCAATTGCCCCTGAGATAGGAAGCAGGGCTATTGTATTCGTGGTCACTCCTGCTGTGCTGCCGGCCTCAGCCTGTTAACTCCCGTATGTTATGGTTTGTTTTGTTTTTTCCCCCAACAACAATGGTAGGAAAAATAAAGTAACTTCTATCTGCTGGAAGCTGGCGGGTCGATTTTCACCAGTTTTGCTTTTTTCCTTCGTTTTGTTTAATTGTTGTACGAATTGTTGGAATTTTAGAGTATCTCATTCTCATTTTACTTAACTGACAGTACCACAAATAAAAAAAGGTGCATAGAAGTGGCACTTCCTCAAGACAAGAAGATGTGCCGTATCGTGCGCTGCCTCTGTGCCTGGGCCATGTGTTTCCCTGCCAGCGATGCTCTGTGGTTGTGAGCCTAGGAGAGCAGCTCCCAGGCTTTGCGTTACCCCACAGCTGTGGCCCACCTTCCTTGAGAGATCCCTTCTGAAAAAAGCGTGCCAGAAAACACTTGCTGCCCTTCAACTGGATTATTTGGATCTGTACCTGATGCACTGGCCCATGGGATTCAAGGTACTGACACTTTAACCCCAGGGAGACATCTGTCAGAGCTCTGCCACTTTTTTGCTTTGGGAGCAGACATGCCCTTAGTCCTCTCTAATGAGGAGTGTTTAAGGACATAATGACAAACCCCTGCACAGAGTGCCCAGGAGGAAAGGTAAGGTCAGGGCTGCCTAAGCTAGGTTTTGTAGCACAAAAATAATTTTATTTTACCCTGAAGAGCATTTCCATGTCATGGATCAAATTACCATCCAAATCACATTCCTCTTAAAGCCTGGGATTTGGCTGTCATTTGCTTATCCAGGATTAAACAGTTGTGAATGACTTAGTTCCTATTTTTCTCTTCTCTCTCTACCCAACAGTAAAATAAATCCTCATTTCCCCACCATGTCACATCCCTGGCCTTCCCCCAGCCTGAGGGAGGCACACAAAAGTGTCTACCCTTCCTCTGCCTGCATGACAGATTCTCAAGAGGCAGATTTTCTTGAAGATTACTCTGTTCATACAGATTACTGGTTTTGGCCACCTCTCTCCCCAACACAAACGTAAGACAGGATATCCAGTGTGTCTTCAGCTCCATTCGCTTGTAGAATTTCTAAGTTATTGCTTTAAATACTTGTGAATGAGCCTAACTTAAACTCACTTTTCTTTTGTGATGATAGGCAGAAGAGGAGCTATTTCCTGCAGATGGAAATGGCATGATCATTCCCAGCGATACAGATTTTTTGGATACATGGGATGTATGTTCATAGACTGGCTGAAGTATTCTTGCTAGTCTGAAATAACAGCCTGACAACTTTAAGGTTTCCACTTTGGTAATCATTCTGAGAGAATTTCCAATGTGAAGTATTCCAGATTGCTGATTTGTCTGTGCCCTTGGGCTCCTTCGTGTGTTACTTTGCCCAAATTGAGGTATTTTCATGTCTACTGCTTACTAAACTGTCTGAGTGGGCATAGCAAGAGGAAACCTTTGACTGTGTCTGTACCCTGCAGCAGCTTGCGCTGACACACGCTTTTGCTGCAGTCCCCACACCTCTCTCTGTGCATTTATTGGTGGCTTTAGCTGTAGCCATGCTCATCCCTAGTTGGACCAGAGCTGTTCAGACCACAGCAAAGCCAACATGCCCATGCCAATGTACCCAGAGCTTTCAAATCTCCCCCCTCTAGAAACTACTGGACCTTGCCCAAAGTCCTTCGCTAAAGCTGTGTGTGCAACACAAACAGGCATGAGCACAGGCTGCGTGGGAGACACGACTTGGGCGCAAGTTCAAATTTCTGCTTGGCTGATGGTTTGGGCTTCCTTTCCCCTCCACTCCCACCGTGTGCTCGGCACGACCAGGTCAAAAGACAACAAGAGGCTCACCAGAGTCAGGAGGATTTGCTGATGCTTTTTTCTTTCTGTCAGATGAATAAGGCACATTTTTGCTGCTCATCTGAAGGAAAAAATCGGACATTCCAGGCTGCTGCTTATGACAGCAACTTCAAATAAAAATTATTTCTGCTGGGGGTGCCAATCTAATTAAGGCTGTCTAGCTGTTTTATTGTTTCCTTGTGTGAAGGAAAATTGGTGGCGGTAGGGGAGCACAGCACTGCTTATACTATATTGCCACCGCTAAATGGTACATCTCCCTTGGGAAATTAATCAGCATTATGATCAGCTATCCTGCTCTAGCTCTCCCAGAACAGCTCCTCGTTGAGCTGCTCTGTTCCAAATGACAAGCTTTTTATTATGGGATAATTATTTTATTAGCTGAGGAATTATCCTAAAAAACCCTCTTATTTATGAGCAGAAGGCCTGCCTGGGGATAACATTTCAAAGTAGTTGTTCTCTACTGAAATAATAATAATGTCATAATTGTTAATCTTGAATAATGCTGCTATTTATTTGTATGATGATACATGACGTAAGAGCCTGAGTCTTTGACCAGTGTCCCACCATTCAATGTACTGTACTAACGCCACGTGAGAAGAGGACCTCAGCCATCATGATTTTTACCGTTGAAGTCTTAGAGCAGGCATTTCTTCCACATAAAACAAAAAATTTAATTCAATAGCAAGTCTGATTCTGTAGTGTTTCTAGGCTATGGAAGAGTTGGTGGATGTGGGAATGGTGATGGCCATTGGAGTCTCCAACTTCAATTGCAAAGATAGATCGGCTCCTGAGCAAACCCAGGCTTAAGACACAAACCAGCAAATAATCAGGTAAATTGTTCTCAAACTCATCAGTACTGATGGCACACCCATCTGGGGTGTTGCATTTGATGAAACATCTCTGGCAGCAAAATACCTTTTATGTTAAGGCTATGCTTTTTCATATGTGTGGGAATACACGTGTATTTGGATAAATCATAAAGTAAAGAAGGATGCAGGATGTTCTGTGCCCATCCTTTCACAGGAAGCTGCAGTCACACAAGCCTGTGGCACTCCTGGGTTGAAAGTGTAACCTTCATCTTTTTTCTGACCACAGCACAGAACTTGTGCAGGCTGAGAGCTGAGCTCTTCAAACAGAGAACGCGACAGGGCTTACCCTTCTCCTTTCCTGCAGGCCCGAAGGAAAAAGAGGCAGTGTGAACAGCTAGGAGCAGAGCCAGGCTGCATGGCTGGGGTGAATAGGTAGGGCTGGATGACGTGAGAGTTGGGTGCTTCAGCTGGATGTGCACAACTGGACCTTGGTCCACATCGATATGGGGACTGTGATAGGTCATGAAAAATGAGGCAGGCAGTTGGGAAGAGAAACTAATGGATGAAGATTGGGCCTTGTGGGAGGCAGGGTTGGGAAGAAGGGGAAACAATCTGAAACACCGGCTGACTACCTTAAAAACCCCATAGCTGCAAAACCAACAATCTTTTCAAAGCTGATGTGGGGCTTGGTAGGTCACCATAGTGATGCTAAACCTTGAAGTACATTCTGCTTCTGAAGAAACCTAATATTTTTTTTTTGTAGATTGAGAGCCACCCCTGTCTTCTTCAGGAAGAGTTAAGTTTTGCCAAACCAAAGGGATCTCTGTCACTGCATATTATCCCCATGGAGCACCCAACTGGCCATGGTAAGCAGGCTTTGTGAGACTTCTTAGATACAGATTGGAGCCAATACAATAAAACAATCTCAGAATGTGGATAAACCCTCACAGAGTAAAACTCATGTAATCAGAAAAATATTTACTAATTCATTAAAACTTACACACACAGAGAAACCTCTCCCACACTTACTGTGATATTCAGTCCACTAATTCATACCTGTGCTGTTACTGGAGTTTCATATTTAGGAGAAAAAGGGTCAACTGGTTGGTGAAAATAGTGAAGATAACTCTTAATTGAGCTTGAGTAAGCTTATTAAACATGTAAGAGAACTTCAGAACTAAAAAAAACCCACCAAAACCGAAGCAGCACATACTTATGAAAACAGCAACTTTGCAGTCCTGCTGGTACAAATGGGTTAGGTTTTTAAATGGATGACTTGAAGAATTTTTGCTTTTACTCCAGTTTTCATAGCTTTCTCCATCCTGGGACAGAGAATTTACCAGAGCAGCTGTACTTGTGAAGGACATGACAGCTGCCCATTCTCAAGATGAAATTTTCAGAATCTGGACCAAAGAAATTCCCAGCCTGATCCCAGGCTGGACTGAAATGTGTTAGTGACCTGTTATACTGGAAACTACAGGCCTCTTCTCATGTGCCAACCTGCGATAAAAGGCAGAAATAATGAAGGCAGGAACGGGAGCAACAAGAAGATGGTGAATTAAAGTGTGCAAGATGATGCTTTCTCATAATTTAAATAATATTCTTACACTACAGTGCTTGAGGGAGAAGACAGTGGGCCTTTCAAGGGCTGAAGTCTGATTTTTATTTTCACAGGTCCAAGCCTGAAGATATTTCCCTTTTTGATGATCCCCAAATTAAGGAAATTGCTCTCAAGTACAACAAAACCCCAGCTCAGGTTAACACTGGTCACAGATTTACCCTGGTGATGTATTTTTTCCCACTTGTGCTAAAGTAACTATTTACAGAGGTATTATGGAGAGCTGAGTTCCAGCTGTGTCTCATACACATTGTAATGCTTTAAAAAATATTACCACTAACACTAGTTTTAATGTCAGACAGAAGATTACCAATGGCTTTGGGCTTTAATTAGCACCCTGGTCACTTCCATACACAGCATCCCTGGCCAATCCTGAACTCTTGTTCAATGCACTCCCATGCTGCCATCTCAATTTCAGAGGCAGATAAGGATTAAATAAGCTCATGTAATAATTACCAAGGGTCTACTATAGTGCTTTTCCTATGTAAGCCATCTCTGATTATCTGTAGAGCTGTTCTGTGTAACCACACATGCACATAATGGTTTTCAGTTTTCAGAAGAGAGGCAGAACTTCTCAGCTGTAATTCCCTATCTGTTCCTGCAGGTGCTTCTCCATCTCCAAATTCAACAAAACGTAATTCCCAAATCTGTCACTCCACACTGCATTGAGGAAAATTTTAAGGTAAGAGGATAACTTACAAAATGTTAATGGTGTTACACTTTCCACAGAAAAATACACTCTTCCAGTAGAACAAAGTACTTCATACTTGGAACTGGCAAAACTTTTTGTCTGTCAGACAGGTTACTTCTTTATGAATCCAAACAGTTACTTTCAAAGTAAAGAGCCATGTCTCCTTCATTAGAAGTCATGAAGTAAGAGAGACTAACTTTTTTACCTTGTGATATAAATATGATGCAATTAGACCCCACCAGCACTGTAATTTTATGACATTTATTCACTTTTCACCACAAATATGAATCCATTGCACACTTCCTAGCGCTTCAACAAATACAATGCTTTTCTACTTACATTTTTGGTATTGTTTCTGCAAATGAACTTACGCTTGTCTTTTTGCAAACTGAAGTAAGCCAGCTCTTTGGGACCTTTATTCAGGTGTTTGAATTGTTAAAAGAGGAGATGGAAACTTTGCTTATTTTCAAGACATGGTATCATATCTGTGCATTAAGTGAATGAGTACCTCCTGCTCCTCCTCCATGTTTTGGAGGTTGGATTATCACTGGATATCCTCTTGACAGACTGTACTTGATAGACACACATAAAAAGAGAGGGAAATTTAACCAATACCTGGTCACATCCATATCTGCTGGAATCCAGCACTAGGGTTTATTAGAGCACTGCCCATCTTGTACAGGTTGTTATCACAGGAATTTTTACAGGTATGTTGTGTGCTAAGATATCTTGTAACGGATGCATACCAAACTGCTGTCTGAAAAATCAAAATTGTCTGGAAACTCCAAAATAAATAGGGGGCTTTTTTTTTTTTTCCTGTTTTTTTTTTTTTGTCTCCTTTGTAGAAGAGACAGTCAGTGTAAATAAACTCAATTTTAAGGATGAGATAAGGTTTTTTTTGAAGTGAAAAGCTGTGCCTGTATATTTATGCCAATGCTATTAAGGCAGCATCTAGATAACAGAATGGTTAGATACAGACTTAGCAAGATCTGCAATTTATTCTGTTTTCCCAGTTTACCCACCTACCTAAAGCTTACTGCAGACTTGAGCAGTTCACAAGAGAGGTTTAACATCGCAGGCAAGGTTGCCACTTTCAGCTAAGCAAAAGATGCATATACCAGTGACCTTGTTCTCAAAAGATAATGTAAAAGTTACAAAGCATTAACTTACACTGCCCTGCAAAAACTAAGTAGACTCATGTTAGTGTTTTTACTGTAGTTCACAGTTTTAGTTCTGCAGAGCTTTCGTCAGGGGGAAAAAAAAATAAATCTTTTTCTTAGCCTTAAGATTATATCCATACAGTATTTTAATCACACTCTTTTTCTAGATGCAAAAGTCACAAGGATTATCCTTTTTTTGGAAGACTAACATTGGCATCATTTTCAGAACCTCCAGGGATCAGGACTGTATTTCATTGTTTCTAATGATTTGTAATGCTTAACATGTATTAATCACAGCATAAGTGGAGTATTATTACAAGATATGAGCAACATAGCTCACAAACATTCTGAAGAGCAAGTTTTGAGCGTGCATGAGTTTGCTTACTTTATTATCAACCACAGTTATATTATCAGTCCTTTATGTGTATCTTTGCTTTGCTCTTGCAAGTATTCTCAGGTGTAGCAAAATATATATTCTACTATAATTTAGTAACAATATTTAAAGAAGTTTAATAAACCTGAATTTTTGAGACTCTTAAAAAGCAGTCTTTGTGATAAATACTGACAAGTTCTAGAGAAACTTAGATCTTCCTAGTAGTTTTATTTTTGGACAAAAGGCAAAAAACCATGTTATCTTTTAGTTGTTAGTGTAAGACAACCCATTTAACATCAGAAGATCTTTATGAGATAAGAGTATGCTGCTTGAGATTCTTAGTTCAGTAATTTCAGTGTAACAGACAGAAAGCTCTGTAGAGGACACTGCTCAATTATGTTTCGGGAGCTGTTTTCTTAATGAGACTTCCTATTTATGAACTGCTAAAAAATAATAAAGTGGTAGGAGATTTGTATGTTTGGTTTATCATATCTACAAGAGTATACAAATACTGCCTTATCAGTAGAATATCTGCAGATGAGACTCTGAATCTCTCCCAGCAAATCTAAAGTCTGATAAAGCAGACAGAGCAATTATTTTGTTTGGCAGCACCTGTCTTATTTAACAAGCAGAAAAGTTGGGCAGCTTCACAGAATGCAGCAGTAGATTTTTTTCTCTCTCTTATACTGTTCTCTAGATACTGTCTGCTTCTGTTTTGACTCAATGGATGTCACTAGATGTTGTTTTCTCTGATTAAAATAAAAGTCAGTGCTACTACAGCCCATGCATCTGCTGGAGTTCTAATGAGGTGTCTCTTAATCAAGACTTCTTGCTCTTGAACTCTAACACGTGACTCAAAAGTTCTGTAATTGCTTGAGGCTCTTCCAGCCCAGTAGAAGAACAATGTGGATCACCACTGCCTGCAGAGAGGAAGGACAATTGTGTAATTAAGGTTCAGGGCTAGGATACACACTCCATGGATATCCTTTTCCAACTGATTTTCTTTGTAGTTGAGGTATTTAAGTCTATAAAGGAAATTATGACATATCTTTGAGCTACTTTAGACTTCTGCAAGATGTCTGAATAACAGGTGCCCTAGAAATGGCAAAGCAATTCTGTCAAATTGGATTTCCTATAAGAGCTCTTCAAAAGAAAGAGGTCAGAAAAGCCTAACAGCAATCAACACCAAATGGTTAGTGCAGTGCTATGGACAGGAATGTGGCCATTACAGGCACTCTTTTCTTTTTCCTCCTGAACATGCTAAATTGGGAAGGTCAGTTACAGGATATCATCATAGCCACAGTCAGAAAATGAGCTACATGGAAGGTGCACTGTTTTGAGGCATTCACACTGTGCTCAGGCTGTCAGTCTACAGCAGTAAGAGCAATACCCGCTCAGGCTGTACGCCACAACCTTATTATCTTGAAATATTCTCTACTTCATAGGAATTTTCTAACAGCATTCCAATTTAATCACAGCTATCAGACTTGAAGATATTTACAGGATGTTTATAGACTGTGGTAGGCAGGAAGTCAGACTAGATGATCACAATAGCTACAGAACAGCAAAAAATTCAAAACAAGTTAGAAGCCAGAGATCATGCATGTGTTCTAGAGACAATAGATCTTTTTTAGCTGCAGAGACTTTAGCAAAGGTAAAAGGAGAAAAATTTAGGTGAAGCCAGTTACTGAGAAATAAAGCACCTTCTATTTTGGAGCAGAGCTGCAGCCACATGACTTAAAGACAATGTGCCTTTCTAATAGACCATTGCTGCCTCACAGCAGCCTGTGATGGCCGTAAGCCTGCTGCTCTAAGCTCCTCAAGAAGCACACTTCCTAGCTTCACCCCTTCACCTACCCAACATGTATGCCACAAGGGTACCGCTCTAATTGCATCTGCTGTCTGTGGAGAGGAAACTACAAAGCACATGATCTCCCTCATATTCGGTTTTGAGGATTCCAAAAATCTTCCAGCTTCTTCTGTATTTTTTGTGAGTTCAGACTTTACATAGAACCTACCTGTAAAGAAAATAAAAATTGCTATGACAGGCTAGGGTAGACACCTGGGCTTGTTTTACTCTTACTGTAAATTCAGTTGACTAAAGAACAAGTGTTTTGTTGGTCAGATCACCACAGCAGAAGAGAGGAAGGGACAAGCTACAACTGTTTCTAAAGACTTTTCTTTGTTCTGTCTTGCAGGGACTTGCAGCAGAGATATTGCCACACGCTGACCAGTGCTGGAAACTTTCCACCTTCAGATTCATCTACAACCTGTGTTTATATGTAAGCATATACTGATGGCCATTTAACACACTCCCTTTTCATAGAATCACAGAATCATTAAG